TGACTAATGCTTGATGGTTCCTGCACCTTTTGAATTATGGAAGCATGTCAAGGATTATGTCGATGAGAAGGGTGGTTGGAGATTCGAGGAGTTAAAGGCTTGGTTACCTGAGGATATAGTGGGCCATTCAAGCTACACTACCTCCTTGTATGTCTGTAGGGGAAAATAGAATTCGTTGGTTAAGTGGTGGTTCTGATGATTTTAGTGTTGCTACAATGTACAAGCATCTAAGTGGGTTTGACCAACATGAGGGAAACAATTTTTGTATGAAAATTTGGTCTTGAAAGGGTCTGAGATGTATCCAAATGTTCTTATGGTTAGCTACTTCAGATCGATTACTAACGTCTGCTCGAAGGTTTAATGGTATTGTTGGGTCGTCTGTTTTGTGTAGGTGTGGCTTAGTTGAGGAGTCCTGTTTGCATGCGTTGAGGGATTGTTCTTATGCACGTAGTGTGTGGGAGCAGTTGATACGAGGTATGCATTTTTTTGATTTTTTTCGTTTAAATTTGTATGAATGGTTTCAAAAAAATTTAGGTGGTAGTTCGACGGGGGAAGCGTGTAATTGGCATTTGATATTGGGGTGGTTATATGGTTCATGTGGTCTTGGAGGAACAAAATGATGTTTGATCCTAACCTTGATTCCTCTGAGATTTCTGCTGTGAGTATTTTGCAATATGTTGAGGGATTAAGAAAGCTTTTGATATGAATGCCAATATTTGTCTTAAGCGTTGGGATGATATCCGGTGGTGACCACCTAAAGAAGGCTGGTTAAAGCTCAATATTAATGGTGCTGCTAAAGGGTGGCTTAGGGACGCTAGTTGTGGAGGGATCATATGGGATTCTACTAGTGACTGGAAAGGGGGTTTTGTTAATTGAGTGGGTAGGTGTTCAGCATTAGAGGCAGAATTATGGGGCTTATGGTTTGGGTTCCTCTTGTTAAAAAGTTTGGGTTTAAGGAAGGTTATCATTGAATCTGACTCTATTGCACTTGTACATATGTTGAAGCAGATGTTGTCATGTTCTTGTGTGAATAATTGATTCCTTCATCAAATCCAGACTATGATTGATGCTAGCTGGCATATCCGCGTGACACATACTTATCGGGAAGGGAATTTTAGTGTGGATTGGTTGGCTAATTGGAGCCTCTCATAGGAATGTAGACTACATGTTTTGAGTGAGCCTCCTGAAGGCTTACTTGATATACTGTATAGGGAAAGACTGGGCTTGACTTGCCCATGGTTAGTTTCAGTCTAATTTCGTTTGGACTTTGCCCCTTTATGTACCAAAAAAACAAAGGTCCTTCAATGTGCTTTAGTCGTTAAGCATAATTTAGCTTCAAACTTAATCTTTTTCACCAATTTTTTCAAAAAAAAAATATTTAAGAGCAAATTAGCACTTCAATATTTTTAAATATCATTTTTTAAAATTGCTATAAAAATTGTTACACAAAAAATCAGTAAATTACTATACTATAAAAAGTAATATAAAAATTCAGAAAAATAATTTGTGAGGATTAATCAGTTAAAGAGAATAGTTTTATAGTTTATAGGGAGAATTAAATTCAGATCTCATATAAAAAAATTAATTATTATAAAATTTAATAATAATTAAACTATATCTTTTTAATTTAGTTATTATTAAATTTTATAATAATTAATTTTCTTGCGTTGAATTTTAATATAATTCTCTTTAATTTATATTCAATTTAAAAAATAGTAGCCGAGCTCGAATGTGCCAGACGCCACCGTTCGTTTTGAAGCTGGCCCATCTCCTTCTGGTTCTTTGCTATCGTCAAGTCTTTCACTGGTTGTTCACATTTCTAGTGCGCTAAGCTTTGTTCATATTTCTTGGTTCATCTTAACTCTCGAGTCATTCTTCTTCATGTCGATTACAACCCCAGCTCTTTCTTCTCCAAGCCTTTCCTTCAAACACTATGCTCTAGCCAAGGTCTCTTCCTTTTTCCCATCCCCATGTCCGTCTAAGTCACGCTGTAATTTCAAATCCCTCTTTTTCGACGAAAGCCCAATCATATAATCCTCAATGTAGATGGAATTATATTAGAATTTCAGGTAAAATGCCTAGATTTTCGCTGGGGAGGCATCTAGGGGTTTCTGCGAACGCAAGGGGCTCCGAAGGTGGGCTTGATAATGGAGTTAGCGAAGCTTCTGGTGTTGACTTGGATCAGGCTGAGAAGGAGGCTCGAGCCCAAAGTACCATGCCTGAGCGGTTTAGGTACTTGACGAAAGAAGCTCCTGACCGTCCTGTTCGGTGGCCGTGGTTTGTAGGTTGGTGATTCTTTTTTGACTCTTCTTTTATCTCTTTGTGACTCTGCTCGGTTTTATGCGTTAGCTCATGAGGAAAATGCTTGAATAAGGGAGAAAAATTACGAACTTAGGCCATTCATTTAACTGGTTCAAAATTTGTTTTTTCTGTAATTTTATCGCGTATTTTGGTGTTGAAAATGGAAATCTTACCCTGCCTAGATTATCTGCAAATGGTAGATATTTATTCGAGTTTGGATAATGCAGTTTGGCTTGTTGTGAAGATTTCATTTGATAGCGGTGGATATTAGGATGTGGGAAACGAGAAAATTTCTATACTTTCATAATGTAGTGGCATGCGATGGCATGTTTAAAGCATTTGGACTTTATTGCTTTGTGTGTGTGTGGGGAGAGAGCCTTTATCCTTTATGCTTACTGGGAAGTCGGATCGAACACCTTACTCTTCTTATGCAATAAAGACATGCTAGAAGATGGATAAAATCATTTAGAGTACTAAATTTTGATTTGTTAAGTGTGCTTTGACTTCATTAATGTTTCTGAACATTTTAGAACATGTTTGTCTCTTCTTTCTTAGTATATCAATCTCCTGCAAATGAGGATTCTTGACATTGAAAGATAAAATTATAGGACTTGATTCATCCCCATTTCACTATATTGAAAGAAATCTGTTTTTGCTTTAAGTTGACAGAGAAATGATCAAGAGAAAGATGTTAAATTGCATCTATAAACTATTTCTTAGTACTTTGTTAACATATACCTGCCATCCTGGCTAGTCCATGTATGCAGGTGTTTCCATTCTTGGATGTTACTTCTCTCCATCATTATGGAAACCTTGATTTGTTGAAGTTAAGACTTCGAGAGTACTATGTTTTATTGTAGCCATTTGGAAACTTGTGACCCCACTGTTTTTCTCTCTTAAATTCGGATCCTCTTCTGCACAGGACGCTGTAGTATTAGGATAAGAAAACTGAGCAACTTTTAAAATTAGAAGCTTATCTCCCCAGCTTCTAATAGAATGACATCCTGATCATGTGTTGATAAATGATTCGAACTACTCTACTATATTAGCAATTTAACATGTTTTGATTCAATGTTAATTACAGCACTGGCTTTCCTTGTTTATGCTTGGAGAGCTGTTTTATTTGAACTATCAAACTGGAGGAATGCTGCACTTGGGATTGTTCGTTTCATGGGATATGTTCTGAAATACATTTTGGCTGTGATCTTCCATTTCTTCGGGGATCCTATCACTTTCTCAATTAGGTTTGTTGAGGATGCATTATACACAATTCGAGCTTTCTACTCTGGAATAGTTGCATATGCTCCGGTACCAGATCTCACCATCATCATTGTGCTGGCATCAGTTGTTTTTAGCAGTTGCAGAAGCAACTGTTCCACATTGCATCAACAGCCAACCGTATATGTTGACTGTGTCAGGCCTAATTGGCTATGCTGCCGTTAGAGGCTATATCTCAGAACCATTGTTCTGGACACTACTGGTAGGGTTGTATGCTTTTTCAAGACTTTTTAAAAGGAGAGACAACGTTTCATCAACAATGCCTGTTGCAGCTGTACTTGCTGCCATTGGCGAGCCTTGGATTAGGGTTCTTGTGTTGATTTCTTTTACAGGCCTAGCTATTTTTCACCATTCAAGAATGCTTTCAGAGGGAAAAGAAATTGCTGAAGTTGAAACAGCAAAGAGGAGGCTTCCGATTCCACTGCTTGCTGCAGCTTTAGCAATTGGTATCCGTGTTGCTGCCAAATGGGCTGGGTATCGGCATTTGACATGGATGATTGTATGAGTTTGTTTTGTCTTCTTTGACCTATATGTGTTCATACTACAGAGAATAGAGCTGAGAGTTCTAAACAGTTTTGAGGTAACGTAAGGCATGTGGTTATCATTTGTTATCTTTGATTCAATTTCTTTTTGTGGTCTTTGTATGGTAATTGATGAGAGCCATCAAGCTGGAAAATTGTTGATTGTATGCTAAGTAGTGTGAAAGGTTTGTCTTTGTCTTTGTAATCTAATGTGGCTATGGTTTCAGTTGTCCTCGCAGATCATGAAAAGATGCATTTGAGGGAATACGGAAAAAGCATTTTGTTGTGATTCCCCTCTATGAAATTGTTATATATAATAGATACGTGTGAATGCACTGTTCAACAATGGCTTTATGGCCTAAGGGCATGCTGCTGGCTTTTGTTGGTGTCAGATCTTGGGTTCGATTTTGCATGCTATCTCTTATAATAACAAGTCTTATCTTACCAGATGGTGATGTTATTTCTTGTGATGTGAAAAAAAAAAAAGTACACGGTTCTTTCACACTTGAACTTGGTTATGTCGATGCGTTACATTCAGAAAAGATATCCCTTTCTGCACTTGATCTCAATTCGTACACTTTATACTTTCCTCAGGTAATTTATAGCTATTAGTAAAATCGATATTAATTTTAAGAACTTAGGATTAGGTGGCTCCCCACCCCCTCAAAAAAAGAAAGAAACAAGTATTAAAGAGTTTTCATGCATTTTAGTTCGATCTTGATCGTGCCCTCTATTTTTACTTTCCCTCCGTTTTTACTTCCGATGTATCTTAACAAAGGAACTTGAAATCGATGATAAGGACTTTACAGCCAGTGATAGAGATTAATTTATGGTTGGGAAAACAAGATAAAATTGAAGGATGCAAGCAAAACAGATCTGTGGATTTAGGAGAAAACTGGATTTAATAGAATAAAAGATTATTCACAATTACAATTTAGAATGTTTAAGAATAAAATTTGCGATAAAAGGAAAATATAGGATTTCAACAACGAATATTTCATAATCCCTAGGGGAAAAAATTGGATCAAGATCCTCTGAAGTCTACTATCTAAATTTTGGTGAAGTTAGGAATATCATAGCCGTCAATTAAATCAAAGCTAGAGAATTTATGTCATGTAATAATTGAAACATTGTGTCGAGTTCCTTTTTTCTGACATCTCTTTTTTTGAAAACGTAATTACTGCTGTTGCAATCATTTTTCAGATAGATTTCTCTATTTTGACGGTGAATTAATCAAAATTTTTGGAGAACAAATTTGTTGGGGGAGAACCTATATTCCTACCTAGTGTTGGATAGTTGAATCATTTTCATTCTAAACCTTCACACCTCAAACTGAATCATAATGGAATTGTAATGGCTATAGAACTAGTAAATAGGAGATGAATGTGAGCTTTGGGGAGGGAAAAACTGAAAGCTTTCTGTTGCTAATTTTTATGATATTGAAACCACTCCTACCATTTAAAACACAGTATTTTGATCCAAAAAATTCTCTTCCCTGAAACTACTGATTCAATTGACGACTGTGATGGTCCCAACTTCACTGAAATTCAGGTGGTAGGCTTCAGACGATTTTGATCCAAAAAAATTCTTTCCCCTGAAACTACTGAATTGCCTAGTGTCAACCATTGATCTTTTGATCAACGATAATGAGAGTTTTCAAATACAAATATAGAAGCACATTTACATGCACCCTATAAGGATGAATCAGAATCTGAGTCATCAAGTGTTGAATCTGATGTAGTCTCCAGAAGACTCCCACTTTCACTGTCTGAAGTTCCCAATGTCCTTTCTTCAAGAGGGCGTTTCAAGAACCAATACATTATACTAGCTGTCAGTGTAAGGATCATCTTTTGATTCACCTGAAAATGTATGAAGTTCAGATAAAAGCACTAAGCGGAAATTATGTGCTTTGATTATTTATAAAGGCAAATCCATTTGTATTGTCAGAAAATAAGGGAAAGTTGATGAATATTCAGACCGAAACTCATTGTGTAGTAAAATCTAACTACCTCTGTGATGTCTTCAGGAAGCAAGAATATAGAACATCCCAGCTTTCTAGCAATGCTGATTATGTAGGTTGCGTTCATCTTTTTCTCCTCATCTGCATGACGCAAGTATATATTGATAAAATTTAAATTAAAACCAAGGCCAGGAAAACTTTCCTAAATTCTCAGGTCAGGCCAGACAAAAACTGCATAAATCTTATACATGATTGTGTAATGAGATTGACAAGTGAATCCTCGGGAAAGCATGCCATGCATATCAAGATTTGCAGGATTTATCCTTAATGTATGGAACTCACATAACAGATATCAAGATTTGCAGTATTTATCCTTAATGTATTGAACTCACAGAACAGTCTGAAAGCAGTCATCATCTCGCAAAACTTAAAACATGAAAAGAGTTGAAAGGAAATGTACCAGTTACTCCTTTTTTAACAAGACTCCAATCGACAGCTCTGGGCTGCACAGAACTAAGAAGTTGAAGGAAAAAAATTCCGTCCGACAGACTTTTATCCTGAAATTAGACATTGTAACAATCAGTAGTAAAACCAAGATCTCTTAAATCAAATGTACCTTATCCCCGAATAGGTGTCATTTGTCACAAATCTAAAATCCAAAATGCAGACTCGCTTATAAGATTTACCAGAAAAGGAATATATTGGTTGTAAGTAGTCAGAACATGTATTGCAATTTCAATTTGCAAGGTCATAATGCAGCCCATTAAAAGGTTGATAAAAAATAAGGATGTTTTACGGTACCTTATCACGTACCAAACAGAAAATATTCCAGCAAGGAATGTGAAATATCCATATCAAAATTGTTTTTTCAGTCTCTTTGACTGCTGTAGGCTCTAAATGAAAGGATTACAAATAGATATCCAATACCTTAAAACTATCCATGCGGTTCTGACTTCCTGAGCTGCTCACTTTGCTGTTGGCCCACTCTAGAATATCAGCGTCAGTTAACTCCTTTCCATGAGTGTGAAGTCTCAAGTTCTTTAGAAGTTGTAGCATATTGCATCGCATCAGTTGCCACAAATAAGCTAAATATAGAAACATCATTATCGCATTAGACTAGATCAAGATTTACTAATTCATGTTCAGATATTGAATCCTGGAAAGTTTGATTGTAGTATGTGACAGTTTAAAATGTTGGAATACATTCAGTTGTCAATTGTCAATAGATTAACTGATATTCTACAATTTGGAGGTTAATGTACCTAGGATTAATTTTTTATTTCCCTGCACAATGTCATTGCCAGCAATATTCACCAGAGAAAACCTGAGTTGTTTCCCTAGTTTCACAACTTGGTTGCAGTTTTCTACTTTTTTGAACGGCATCTTTATTGGAGGCTTGTTTGCAATCTTCCAATTGACAATCCCCGGTGACACCTTGTCAAGGGTTTCTAAAAGTACCCACCTGTAGAGAAGAAATAGTAACCCAAATCAACAATTTAAAATGTCAAAACATACATAGGCATTCAATCTGAAATTGTTGGCAAAGGATTGGAATGGGGGAGAGTCCAGCAAGGCTATAAGTAAAAAAATTATGCAAACCTTAAGATAGTGAGTTTATGAGTCCTTCTACTTATACGCCATTTATTAAGCACACATCAAGTCCAGTCCACTCACACATGATATCCTAGCAATCTCCCTCTAAAATGTGAGTGCTTGCCCAATTTTAAGTCCCACACCAAGTTAAGTCTGCTCACACTTGACATCATAGCAATCTCCCCACTCATGAGTACTTGCCCAATTTTATACATCACTCATTAAGTAAACATCTAGTCAAGTCTGCTCAACATGGCATGCTTGCCTAATTTCTGGTCCCACATTTATTAAGTCCCCCCCTCACACTTGAAATTCTAGGAATCTTCCCTCCCTCAAGTGTGAATGCTAGCCCAATTTTGTTGCTCCCACATCAAGTGAATCATCTCAAATGTAAGTGCTTGCCCAATTTGCTTATTAAGTTCACATTCAATCAAGTCCATCTACACTTGGCATGCTTGCCTCATTTAAGTTGACTCACGCTTGACGTCCTAGCAATATTCCCTCAATATTCCCCCCTCAACTGTGAGTGCTTACACAATTATATATATCGTTTATTATGTTTGAGTCAAGTCTGCTCACACTCGGCATTTATGGATCCTTCCATTTATATATGGCTTATTAAGTCCACATCAAGTCAAAATCAACTCATTCAGCTGAGGAGGATTCTGCTTTAACAGTGGCTAGTCTGATTGAGGGAGGTCGATGGAATCTGAACTTGATTAAAGATAAAATTTCTAAACAGGAAGCTGAGATGATTATGCAAATTCAATTCCTAAAAAGTGTGTGAAGATAAGCTGTTTTAGAACCTTAACGAAGGATGGAAACTATACAGCTAAATCTGGTTACAAGTTTGCGAAAAGTCTTAATACAGAGAATGTGCAATTAAGGTCGGGTTCTTCTTACCAGACCCGAGACAGTTGTAGAGGTGTATTTGGGGACTGAACAATCAGCCAAAAGTGAAGCATTTTATCTGGAGAATACTGAATGGAGCACTAGCCACTACTGAAGCATTATTCAAAAGGAAATGTTTTAGATCTCTATTGTGCATGGTGCGTAATGAGGAAGTAGAGTGAATCTCTACAGCATCTCCTTTTCTTTTGCCCTTGGACTACTGCATGCTAGTTTGGATGTCCTCTGAATTTTTTTTCCGACCGAAGGAATATTGGCAGTATAATGAGCTAGCTTGAGATGTTGTTAGTAACGGAAGGTGGGATGCGTGATGGTGGGAAAGCTTTATTAGCAGCCATGTGCTGGGATATTTGGAAGAGTAAGTGTTATTAGGTCTTTAATGGATGCAGGTCAACCCAAGGAAGACCATTGAGAGGGCTGTCAAATTGGTTCATGAAGTCTATAACTCTACAAAGTTGAAGGAACGGGGTTACAGGAGGAAGGAGGTGGTAATGAATAGGAGTCTGGTGTGGAAGGCAAGTTCAGTCAAAATTAACAGTGATGGTGCTTTTCAGGGAAAGGGTAAGATGGAAGGGATAGGAGTGGTGTGAAGGAAGCATGAAGGGACGATTCTTGGGGGGTTTTTGTGCACCAGTACTTGCCAATTCTGGTTTTATGACAGAATGCATGGCACTTAGAGAAGCAGTGGAGGCAAATAGAAGGTTCAAGGACACACAGGGACTATAGAAGTTGATTGTGAAACTTTGTACAAAGCATTGACTTTGAATGCTTTGAGGGGTTGTGACTGTCAATGCCTTAATGTGCAGGAGAAGGTGTTAGCACTTAATGCTGCGGATCATCTTGTAGCTAGTGGAGCAAAGAGGATGAACCCGCAAGGGTGGCTTTCAGTGGCACCATCTTCTTTAGAGGTTTTCTTGAATTCCAATTCTCTGTTTGTTAGCAGGGATGATGTCTGGCATGGCAGTGAGAGAACAGGTATAGGTTAATTGTTTCTTTTCTTGTTATACTGACACTGTTTCTGTTCTGCTTTGGTAAGTTGTGTGTTAGCCTGTACTGGTAAGTTTTTTTGAGTGTTTTGAGGGGTTGTGACTTTGAATGCTTTGAGGGGTTGTGACTGTCAATGCCTTAATGTACAGGAGAAGGTGTTAGCACTTAATGCTGCGGATCATCTTGTAGCTAGTGGAGCAAAGAGGATGAACCCGCAAGGGTGGCTTTCAGTGGCACCATCTTCTTTAGAGGTTTTCTTGAATTCCAATTCTCTGTTTGTTAGCAGAGATGATGTCTGGCATGGCAGTGAGAGAACAGGTATAGGTTAATTGTTTCTTTTCTTGTTATACTGACACTGTTTCTGTTTTGCTTTGGTAAGTTGTGTGTTAGCCTGTACTGGTAAGTTTTTTTGAGTGTTTTCTTGGCTTTGGCTATTTGTTGTTTCTATACAAATTTTATGATTAATAAAATTGAATCTTTTTGGCCGAAAGAAATTATCAGTCTATAATAAAAATAATTCAACAAACTAGTTATTGCTCGGTATTTATCAGGAAGATTAAGTATTTTAGAGAAAGCACACCCGTTTGTGACGTCTTCAAAGACATTGTTGATATATGTTGAATTGCCAAGACTGTTAATCCAAAGGCGAAATGCTCTCTCTTCTCTGGAGTCTTGGGTATCATCCGGCAATGTTTGAAGGAGAGGAGCCTGAGTTGTCTGGGTTGAAAATCCATTCCTATCAGAGAAAAAAAGTTAGTTAGTCTGCATATATCAAACCTTTCCGACATGCCTCTGGTGCAGAATGGCTTTCACAGGATATCAAAGTCATAATAAAAAATAATAATAAAATAAAGAAGACAGAAAACTAGAGAACCAATTGAGAAGCAATAAACGAGTACTACAGGTTTGAACGTCCTTGGTCGCTTTACATAGAACACAAGAAGTGATAAAAATGTGGCCAATGCATGTCATTCAAATAATATTAGCACACGTTGACACAAAATATGCTCAATTCTTGAAAAACTTAAATCTTCCCTGATACTTGAGGTACAAACCTTGTCCCTTGGTACTAGCTAATACCTTATCATGTGGCACAGATTGTACAACATATAATACGATCAATGTCAGACTAAATATACAACTTCTTATATGTATACCATGTGTCTTTGTTAGAAGATTCTCACCTATTCTGGAAAATATGTGCGACGAAAGCAAGGTTAAGGTTTTGGCAACCTTCAACTATATCTCTCGCAGTCAAGTATCGCTTGCAGCCCATCTTCTCCGCATGCTCAAGAGCTAACTTTGCTCTTTCAAAAGGATTTTTGACGGCAAATGTTGATGGATTAGTGTACTCAGGAGCAAGGACGTTTAGAAGATGAGTGTAAGCTTCAGCGTCCTGCAGATTCAGAACCACAGAGCATAAGTACAAAAGATGTTTAAAAAGTTAGTTATAATTATTACTTCATAATACTGATTGGATTTATTTGAGATAATTTGTTGTACTTCCAAAGTCGTCCTTTTACCTATGCCAGAAAAGCAGGGGACAAACTAGTAAACTGCAAAAGAATCCTATATAATAATTTTTGAAAAAATTACATTGAAGTCTCACAAAAAAAAATTAATTACTGCAAGGTTCATTATGTCAATGAACCTTGCAGTAATTGATTTCCTTGTGTGAGACCTGGTTGTAATTATTCCATAATTTTTTCTTCTAAATCTTATATGACTTGATGTTCAAAAAATGTTATGCCATAGGATTTTTTGCATTATTTCTTATTTACAATCTTATGAATAATTTATTAAAGGGAAAAACTTATAGAAACTGCCAATCAAAAGAAATATGATTAAAAAAAATCCCATGAAAGCCAGTGGATGAAAAACAACTTTATGTACCTTGAGCTGTCGGGGTCAGAAAAAGAGTGGTTGTTCAATAAAGGGCAGTTTATGAATACATTCTAATTTATAGTTTCTCACTCACCTTTACATCAGAGGAGAAGTTAGTGATTATTTTCGCGTACCCTGCTTTCTTCAACTGGAAATTCATCCACCTTAACAACATTTTCTCTGGTGGTAGAGTCAGTAATTCTTCCATGTCCTATTAGTTTAAAAAACAGAAAGATGAGTATATAAAACAAATAATTCTTCAATTACTTCATTCACCTTAACCGTGAAAGAAAATATTTACCTGGCTATCATCAGCCAACTCCACCAACTGAGGAGTTTTCTTTAGGTCGAGGTTTGCCAATAATTGTATCTATTACGATCATAATTTGTTTGCATCAATAAAACTGAGTATGATTAGCATCTCTATCATCTCCATTCATCGCGAGATGAGAATGCATCAATAAGTAATATTCTAGATTTATTCGTATAATTCATATATAATATGACAAAATCTTGAACAAATCTAGACCACAAGATGGAAAACTTCATTTACCCCCGTGAATTTACCTTAATAATCTGTGAAATCAATCCAAGCACCAGATGACGCTGAAATCAAAGAAAAAATAGAATTATTTCAACTGGGTTAAAAAAAAAAAGCAAAAATCAAAAGCTAACAAGGTTAAACAAAAATGCAAAGCACGGATAAAAAAAGGGGATATTCAGTAGATACAAACAGACTCCTTGTTCCATATTCAGTAGACTAGGCATATTATCAAAAGTTTCTCTAGTTGGTACGCTTCTCTCACACACAATTGAAACTTACATACCACAACCAGTTCAAAATAGGTTATGCCTCTTACAGAAATTTAAAGCTCATGATTTATTGAAATTGTTTATATCTACTACAAATAACACCACCTTTCCAGAAGCGTGTTGTTATACCAGAAGAAACACGAAAATTCTAGGAATTACCTCCATACAGTATTAACGGGTGTGACACTTACAAAGGAGTTAAAAAAAAAAATTTGATACACAATCTATCACATCATGAAAATACATGACACAGATAACTTACAAACTGATCTATCAAGGCCGATTTGATGTATGAAATTTGCAGAGGCATACAACATACCCGTCCTTCAATAAAGTCCTGTGTGCCAATATTGACTACTGTACATCCAATTGCTTTAGCAGAGTTGAGGCAAAGCGTATGGTTTTCATTCCTTTCCCATGGATTGAGTACTCTTTTAGTATTGATTGCCCGTTCATCAATTGTGCCCGGAACTGCCACATTGATAAGCTTACTGCAACAATGTGTAATTATTTTTAAAACAGAATTTTCATGAAGTGAAAAATTAGACAATTAATGAGCAAATATGGTACCATAGAAGAACACCATCTTTTGCAATTTCAAAGAGATCATTGGTTGAAGGATCAATAGGGAGGTATCTCTTGAGAAACTCATCTTCAGCAAGATAGTTATTTATATGCGCAACATATGATGCCTTCTCAGATTCACTAATTGTGTGAAGCAATGTGGTGGTAGCCGCTTTCAGAAATGCCGAGGAGTTCTTTGGGCTGCCTACTATTCTAGAACTTGCAAGAGTTTGTAATTTCAAGTAAACCTGTCATCGATTTAGCAACATTATTTTTTATCATTCAAATCAAACTTTGAAAGCAAAGGCAAAGTTAACAATTCTCTATTCTCCTCCACTTCGGATAAGATTCCCTAACAGGGACAGAATTCTGTGAAAGCTTCCTTTGCTTTCCCTTTCCTTCACTTCCATTATCTTCCACACAAAAATACCTTATAGTAAGGTAGACCCCAATTTCTTAAAATGCATTTTACACCTCACTGAACAGAGCACTCGTCAGCCTTTCAGTGATAAATTGTATTATATTTAGATTTAGATTGAAAAGAAAAAATAAAGTCAACGGGACCAGGGGAAAATTGCATTTGAAACAGATGCATCGTGAAGATGATATTGCTATCTTGAAATGTTGCCATTAAAGATGACGAAACTCACCTTGAGAAATGACTCAAAATCCACCTCCTCATCTGCATTCTTATACAAATCCTGGATAGAAGCAGCTCTCTCCTCCTCACTCAGATTTTCTCCCACCACTTTTAACCTCGACATCTTGGAAGCCATGTCCCCAATCGCGAGCTTCTCACTCTCTTTCCTCATGTTCATGAACTACACCAAACATAGTCAATTATTACAGTCCCCATGAACAAAACACGAGAACAGTAGCAGAATCCAAATATACAGGATAAACAGTAACGAAATAATATACATGCATGAGATTGAAGAGTTCGCTTCAATGCTTTTCTGTGAATTAAAAAAAAAGGAGAATTGGAACCAAGATGAACTTACTTGGGATTTTAAGCTGCGAAGTTCAGCTTGGGTAAACTGATTTTGAAGCCCTGGATCAGAAACAAGAATTCCCCAGTGGCCAGACATTTCTGTGTCTGCTTGTGGCAAAATCAAATTTTCCTCCTATTTCTGATATTGGCGAAAAATGCAAATCGGAAGGAGAGAAGGAGAGTGCGAGAATCAGAATCAGAACTCGGTATCAAGGAATAATGTTCTCTCCCTGTTCCATTTCCAAAGACGATGAGAAAATTGGAAGTGAAAGAAGAGAAGGCGATCTTCGACACCTTGAGACGGAGTATTCAAAGTTGCTCTGGGAGTGAGGAGAGGGGGAAGAGAGAGAGAGAGAATTCAAATTATGACGATATGGCTCTTGTTACCGTTAAAGGCGATTTCAAATTGTCATGTAAGTTTGAACGCACATAATCTCAGATAAATTAAATTGAATTCAATCATGAATTAAGGGGTAAGCCCCAAAAGTCTTTGAGAACGTAACTTAAATTATTAAACTATTATTAAATAAATAGTGACCTCATAATGATCACTGCCTTAATCATGAATTCAAATTATTATGGTAAGGTCTTGGCCCCCCCCCCCCCTTTTTTGCCCCAAGGACATTATTACGGCAAGGTCTTTTTAGCCTAACCATACCTAGGATTTTTAATATTTACCTTAATTTAATTTAAGCACTTAATACAAGATATTGGAGCGTTAAATTTAAACTATTTGTTGGCCAAAAGAAAGTGTTAAAACTATTTTATTTTATGTGATATTATATTTACTTTAATCTTTAAACTATTAATAAGTTGCTAAAACAAAATATATACAATAATATTTTAGGAAATGTATTGCATTTCTTTTATGATGAGCGCTCTTATGTCACAAGACATATGGTGTGGTGGATTAAGAGGCGAAGCAACATGGGAAGAGATTTTAAAAATATTAATAAATTATTTAGTGAATATTTATATGGAAAGTTTGTATATGGAACCAAATAAAGTAATATGTTTTATAATACATAAGTTTGATAGTAAAAATCTTAAGTTTATTTAAATTTATTGTTATTCGGAAATTGATTGATAATGTTAAAGTGAAGAATATGACTCCTCTAATGACAATTCCATTTTAAATTTAAACACAAAAATTAAAAAAAAAAGATAGATGGTATAAATAATATTAAAAAAATGTCTCCCCAACAACTTCACCTAGGGCTGTACAAAGGATTAGATGGGACTGAAATCTTGTCTTTTTTATGAAAAGGATTGAGTTAAACAACCCATAGTCCGGTCTGATCTAATAACAACTCAAAGATTAACAAGATTGAATTTGGTCTATAGGATTGAGAGAGTGGTTCTATTAGTCTAGTGCTCACTTAACTTTTTTTTTTCTTTTTCCTATATAAGAAGCAATTATCTATTTCAAATTAATAAACTCAATTAAGATAATAAAAACACTTATAATCATAATAAATCCATAATAGTTTCCAACAACAAGAAAAAACATATTTCAATTACAATCCAAATGGTCTAGATTATTAAATTATTACTCTGAGCGTGCAACCGTGCCAGCAACCAAACTTATTAAATTATTAATAGTTTTAATTTATTATTATAAATAGCCAGTAAATTAATTATAATCATATTCAATAAATTTAATAGGACCAGATTGGATCAAGTGGTTCAGATGCCCAGTCTTTTATTCAGTCCAACCCAAAAAAATAGTCTAGTATTTTTAGTATTTTCAGTCTTAAAGGACCAATTTTTAACAAGACCGAATAAAACTGAATCTTCTCAAGTTAGATTGGATCGAATAGGATTGAAGGATTTCTGCACAATCCTAAATTCACCAATTCACTTTCCTTTAATCACGCCACTAGTCGGTGACCTCTAATTTCATGAGTGTTCCAAATTTTTTTTACTTAGTAAGTATTCACATCAATCATAAAATTTCATCAACCCTGGCTCAAAAATTTATATTCTCTCCTGAATATAATATAGTACATTTTTTAAAAATTCATTTAGTTTAAAGTATATTTTGGTTCAGAAGGAATACTTAACAAAAAATAAATGAAACAATTAGTTAAATGGCAATTTTATGATATTGTATTTTGATCTAGTTGGTCACTTCCACCATTTTAACCCGAACAAAAAAAAACCTTAAATTTTATTAACTACATTTAAATATTCAACAAATTTTTAACTTTCTCCCATTAAAATACATACTTTAAACATAAAATACTCTAATATTTAATAACTTTTTCAATATTTAATAGGAACAAAAAGATAAAAATAAATACAATAATTATTAAGGTACCTACAGATAAAATGCTTGAAGAACATGCATAGATAAGGCTTCAAACTAATTTGACCTAAAATAAGGGCATGTACAAAAGATTATCAATAGTATTTTTTGCTCTTGACATCCAAAAATAGAGTGAGGTGACATTAAGATGATGTTTGCTTAAGATGTCACCAATTCTGCTTCCAAATGAAGAGTAGATGCTTGAATGGAAGATCGAGTTTCTTAAACAAAATTCCCTATATAATGCCTAGAGCTGTCAAGGTCAGACTCATCCTTTTTAAATTCAAAAAAATTTAAAACCAATCCACTACTTTAAAGTGTAAAATGATAATTTGGGCTTAAAAAGGCTAATAAAAGGGCCAGCACTAGCCCTTTTATATTTTTTAAAATTTTAATATCTATAAAAATTAAATACTATACTAATTTTAAAATCCTAGCCTCATTTCACAAGGATAAGGAAAGAATATATGAAAAAATTAATATCTTTGCAACACTAATAAGGCTCTATAATAAGAAAGATAAAATTATATTGATATTGATGACAATAAAAATCATCAAAATTTAGCTGATGATGCTAACAAAGTCTTATTGTTATCAATGTTAATTTTGTAATGTTTTTTATTAGACTTAAATGTGTTGTTGTTTTGTAATGTTATGTTTAATAACTTTTTTGAAATTTTAAATATATTTTTAGATTTTTAAATTGAAAAATGAAGAAAAAAATAAATGGCTGAGTTGACTAAAATGAAGCCTTGAGGTATAATCAAGCTTTAACAAGACAGATTCATTTAAACTTTGGCCCTTCAAGGGCTAGCCTTTTGCCCTAATTGATCACTCTAAATTGATGTCAAAGGTTACAAGTTGATACATGTCTATTGGGTACTCCCTAATCTTGAAGTACAAACATTTTTTAGGAAAAATCCATGTACCAACAAAGTCATCATTTCCATAAAAATATACATTATGTTTTTTTTTTACCCTTAGTCTCAATTATTAATGCACTTTATAATGAGTGAGAGATAGATTTATATAAAAATGAGGAGTAAAATAGGGATTTTTTTTTACATGTATTAGGTTATTTATATTTTGAATCAAAATTAATTTTAAAAAATGCTTATATTTTAAACCAAGAGAGAGTGTATTGTCACCAGAACTACCTTGCCATTTCAAATTATTGGTTACAAAGGATTCCAGAATACCCTTCCAAAACCATGACACATTATAAGTTTGTTTTTTTGTTTTTTGTTTTGGTTTGCAGCCATTTGATCGATCACTATTATTTGATCCGCAATGTATTTGCCATTAATGAATTGGAATCGGATTCCATTATCCTCCAAATCTACTTACACAAGAGAGCTTGATTCATTTGATGAGTTGGCCTTATTCATAAACCTCCATTCCTAATGGGAGTGGAGAGGAGATCTTGCTTGGTAGGCCTGTGCAGGATGCCCATAAGCCCGAGATGCCCGGCCCGACCCGAGCAGAATATGCCCAACCCGAGCCCTAAAAAAATTGCCCAATTCTGTTTGGGCATGGTCGGGCTGAGCCCGATCTTCGGGTTGGGCAGGGTTTAGGGCTGGGGTATCCAACCAATTGACCCTGCCCGGCCCGAGATATAATATTTTTTTTTATAAAAATAATAATATAGGATATAATTTTTTAACTTGATGGGGACATAAATGGTAGTTCTTTTTTTTTTAAATGCCTTGATGATCAAGTTTGTAAACCTTAGGTTAAATATTTTTATATTCCTTAGAATTTGAATTTGGACAGCACTTGTGACTTGCATGAAAAATTCCTTCCATATTTATTTTGCCATTAAGTTTTTTGATGACACCATCATATTTTTGCTAGTGATATTTAACAATCTATTACTTTTAAAATAAGAGCTTGAAGTGATTTATTGATGGAAATAATTAATTTGCTACAGTGTATTTCAGATTTGTGTGGATGGTTCTGATTTTTTATTTTGGTAGGGCAAGGTTGGAGACCCTACCCGAGGTGCCCGACCCTGCCCGCCCGGCCCCTCCAAAGTCGGGCATCTTTCGGGTAGGGTCGGGCTTTGGGCATAGTTTTTTTGCCCTAAGACATTTAGGGCAGGGCATCGAGTTAATGGGTTGCCCTACCCGACTCTATCCATGCACAGCCCTATTGCTTGGTAAGCTTGTAGCCTCGTACTACACTTATATACAAGTCAAAACAATTCATTAATTTAAAATCAATTTCTCTAGTTTAATATTTTATCCACATCTCGTTATATGGCCTGGCAAGCCAAATTACAGATTTAAGATATGGCCTTGCCAGCCTTCTAGCCATTTTCCAAAACAACTCTACATTTTCATATTAAAAAAATAAAAACTCACTCACGTCCATAATATATAAACAGTTGCTTTTTGCATGATGAGCAACAAATAAATTTATCCAAGAATTTAAAACAAATTTTCCATTTTATTCCTGATAATTATTAGCTTAAATATATATTTTGTTTTTACCGTCAATCCTAATTATTGATACACTCTGAGTGATGGATAAATTTATATAAAAACTTAAATAAATAAATATCAGGGGTAAAATGAAAATTTTTCTTTCTTTTAAATCAAGATTTGTCTAGAAAATATATGTTTATATTTTAGGGCAGAGGGAATAATAGTCATTAACTTACTTTGAACCAGAAAAAGGCTGCTAAAACGTCAAGAGTAAAGTTAAATATGGACTCTCTTGCCCAAAAAAAAAAAAAAACAAACAAAAACAAAAGAATATTGCGACTCGCAATTAGTAGAATTACTCAAAACACCCCGTTTTGATTAGCAAAATAGTAAAAGTAGTGGGTAAAAACATAGTGAAAATGGAAATAATGATCATGAATGGTCTGGAATCGATTCAATAATCATAATATGATGGTGGTACCAATTAAAGCAGTTGATGAGGAAGGAATATACTCATATAAGTTGAACTTTTGTCCCTTTCCTTTCACTTTACACAGCTCTTTCACAGTCACAAAAGTTCACTCCTACTCACACCAACACCAAAATATTTCACCTC